TGATTTTTGCATATATAAAAAAACTTGCAGTAATGGGAACAATGTTTATCGTACAAGATGATAAAGAAAATTTATTTTACTTTGAAGTAAAAACTTTTCTCACATTGAATACTTTTATGCAGGTGTATGGATAATAAAGTGACCCTACTGTACAAATGTTAATTGTAGTTTTTTTTTAAGGTCAAAAATGGCTAAAGTCTGGAAACTTCTGCAGACCATAATCTTATTTTTAAATTTATTACCTTGGCTTACGAACATAATTTGGGTTTTACAGAACAAATTCACACTATAATTTTCCAAATTTTAATCGTAAAATATACATTATACACAAGTTTCATTTTCCTTCCACTTCATAACTTTGTGATACTTTGTGTTGGTCATAAAATCCCCGTAAAATATTTTGAACATGGTGGCCATAATGAATTGTGGAAAAGCTCAAAGGGCATCTCTGTCCTTTTAATAAATCTTCAGTGATACTATTAGACAATCATAAACTATTTTTACAATACACAAGTCTAACTATTCCAAGTCTGTAAAACTCTGTTTGAGATAAGATAGAACTTTATTGATCCCGCAGGAAATTGTTGTGCCAGAGTTTCAATACAAAGGAACATACACAAGGAATCACACAAGATTTAAAAATAACAGAGTATAACAATTAACAGAATATAAAAATAACAGAAACTATAAAAATACCCACAATTAAGTTCTAATACAGGTCAGGTGCAGACAGAAACATTAAAGAGTTTATTGTAATACAGGATTAATTTTATCGTCCTATGTGTAGAAAGGGGAGGAGTTGAAAAGTTTGATAGCCACAGAGAGGAAGGACTTCCTGTGTTGTTCTGTGGAGCACCTCAGTGGCTCAGTCTACGAGTCTACGACTGAAGGTGCTGCGGTAAGGGTCCAGGGTGTCATGCAGGGGGTGTGACGTGTTGTTCAGGATCTGGAGCAGTTTCCTCACCATCCTCTGCTCACACACCTCTGTCAGAGACTGCAGGTCCACTCCCAGAACTGAGCTAGCTATCTCTTGATGAGTTTATTGAGTCTGTTGGCATCAGCTTTCTTCACCCTGCTGCCCCAGCACACTAGAACGTTGAAGAAGACACTGGAGACCACCAAGTGGTAAAACATCTGCAGCATGGTCCTGCAGATGTTAAAGGACCTGAGTCTCCTCAGAAGAAAAAGGCAACTCTGCCCTTTCTTGTAGAGGGTGTTGGTGCTAGCCGTCCAGTCCAGTTTATTGTCTAAGTGGACCCCCAGGTACTTGTAGTAGTCCACAATGTCCACCCTAGTACACTTGATGTTGATGGGGGGGGTGATCTTGTTCCTGTAATTCACCCGCAGCTCTTTATTTGTTTGTTTGGGTATGATGTAATGTATTGTCAAAGACAACGACAAAAATCTTGTTTGAGTTCAGTAAATTTTTTGCTGTTTTCATTCTTTTTGTCTGCCTGGTCTTTTTGTCTCCATGCCAGAGTAACACAGTGCTCCATTTGGACTTGGCAACAGGTGCCGTGCGGAGGCTTATGTTATCTCCAGACTGTGATCAAGCTCCTGCCAGAGCCTCAAACTGGTGGTCCAATAATGAACAACAGGTCAGAGGTTCCACGCTCTTCAGCTACAAATACCAATTGACTTGTGGCTTCTAAAAATCACAAGAAATATCTTCTGTATTATTTCAAAACATTCAAAACTTGACTGTTGTTTATTTATTTTTGTAATCTGTTTTATTCTTTATGTTTGTCTTTGCTAATGAACTTTACTGCATTACTAAAAGTTTTTCCATTCAATTTTAAGGCATAAAATATTAGCTTACTGTTTATTGTGTTATGTATGCTGCTTGTTTGCAGGTAGGCCATAGGATGTGTCGGGAATTTGCCCATAAAAACTGGCTTCTCTTCTATAAGGAGAATGGGTAAAAATACTCTACACCAAATTATAATTGACACCACTAAAAAACACAATACTGTTGTATCAGCTTCTGATTTGTCTTTGTATGCACAGCAACCAGCTGGAGGTGCTGGATGTGTTAGAGGGACGGGTTCATTCCATTTTCCTTCCAATCAACTTGAAATCTGTATTCCTGGTGGCAGAGGACCGCTGGCTATTGGTAGAGGCCACCACTAACAAGTAAGAGATTGAGTTCAAATTGCTCCTTCATGGTCAATACATTGATTTACAGATTAAAATAATGTATATCTTACATTATAGGAAGTTTCTTTTGACCAAGCCCATGCACATGGCTGCTGAAGATACTGGAGTGTGTCAACTTCACAGTATCAGTGAGGACACAGTAAGCTCAGGTCATGGATCAAGCTCAGGTATACTTAAGAAACAGGATGCTTTTCAAGCCAGAGTTTTAGACTGGGATCATCTTATGCTGAGGAATGACAGAGTTACCGCAGCTTTAAACAAACCTCATGAATGACTTTAGGTGCAATCTCATGTGATATTGGAAGATCTTGTAAAATGTACTCTTAAGAGTATATCATTGGAATGACTATCAGCTACTAGTGGTTGTGATATCTTACCACAGCTTCAAATTTTACCTCAGTATTTGTAAAATTGACTGAGTTAGGGACGTTTTGGAGTTGCCTGATATCAGTTAGCTCTGGTTGCGATCTTGAATTGGTTTGACCCCAAATGCTAATGAGTTGTGGATGTACAGGCAATGATAACTTTCCAAGAGTTTCTGTTGTTTGTCTAAAACAGGTCTCTTGAAAATGAGTCCCTTTGACTCAGTGAGACTAACCTGTATAAATAAAGGTTGAATGAATGAGTTCCAGTTAAATTTGTACAGTAGTTCAAGAGATATTTTGCTAACAAATAACTGTGCTGGCTCAAGAGGATAATGCCAAAGTTTAAACAGAAATGTTGTGCAATATGTAGTGTTTCAGTTACATCTTGTAAATCCCTTTCAGCTACTGTCACACCAAATTTTTGCACATCTGTGAAATTAATTACCAGTAAGTTGTAACCATCTTTTGTTTACACATTTGTTGATTGACTGGGATGGCCCTCTCAAATTAGGGTGACACAAAAATTAATAGGTTGTACATTTCCATCACCTTGTTAATTTCTGTTAGTTTCATAAAGACCTGTCTATTTTGTTTGTAAGAAATTTTGCTAGCAAACAGATTAAGTTAAACGATTTAACTGTTACTGTTAAGTAAAACGATTGTACAGTGTGTGGCACACAAAGTTGGTGAATATGCTCAGCTACTACCACACCATAGTTTAGCTCAATATAGGAAAAATGCTAAAGTTACATACAGTATAACTATCAAACAACAGTAGATCAAGAAAAACTGCAGCAGCTTGAAGCACTAACACCAAACTGCAAGTCACAAAACCTTTGCTTCGTAATTTACAGAGCCATTTCCATTGTTCTTTTTCAGTTGTTCTCCCTATAAGGCTAAAGTGTGTGGGGGGGGGGGGGGGGGGCACTGTTTCCCAGAGCAAAGTATTTTTGTTTTTCAACGCAAATTATCTGAACAGTCAACAGAGTAAAATGCTCCTGTATCAGAACAAAACTCTAACCTTGTTTATCTATATTTTCAACAGTTATTAGTATATCAAAGAAGTCCATGCTCAATAATCCAGGTATACAATCCAACGATTTTCAGTCAGGTCATCTGGACAGTTTCTTTTTTTTTTCTGAAATGTTTCACCTTCCATCTGGAAGGCTTCATCAGTCAAGGAAACACACAACACAAAACAGATTCTTCCCCCAAACAGCTTACTCCAAAGTGGAACAAACCAGTTATGTTGGTGCTAAGATGGTGTCTTTGGCACACCCCCTCCTCTGAAGCCGGCCCTCTTCCTTGTCGACAGTCATGTCAAACTGGTTGAGTAAGCAACCAGTTTGACACAGTTCAACTCTGTGGATAAATACATCAAGTTCACACGAGAAGATGTAAAAAATGGCAGGTTGGCTTTCTTGGACTGTGAGGTCTCAGTCTCTGATAGAGGCCATTTGCAAACCGAGGTGTACCATAAACCCACCCACACAGACCAGTATTTGCAGTTTGACTCCCATCACCCTTTGGAGCACAAGTTAGGAGTCATCAGGACTCTGTATCACAGAGCAGACAGCATCCACACTAACTCAGGAGCCAGGCAGAAGGAGAAATCCTACACAAGACAGGCTCTAGAGCAATGTGGATATTCTGATGCATGCTCAATAATCCAGGTAGAAAAATCTAAAAAGTTAAATCTGGTCCTCTGGACATTCAAAAAAAACCAAAACAAAGCAAATCAACAAAAAAATGTAGAAAAGTTTCGTCTCTCATCCGAGAGACTTCCTCAGTCTGAGGAGCTGTATTCAGCTCAGTCTCTTAAATAGCACCGTCTCAGGGTGGATCAACCAGTTTTGCTGCTGACAACCAAAACCAGCTGATCACATGCTAAAGAAGGACCATCAGCATAACAATGGGTCATTAGCACACTGATGGCTGTTTACTGTTCACAGAGGGCTGAGTGATACTAGCAATCACAGCATTGTAAGAGGGGGACAGTTGAACCCGGAGGCCTCCACCCCTGTTTAATGATGGACGATTTCTTTTCACAAAGATGGCCTCCTTTACTCCTCTCTCAAACCATTGTTCCTCTCTGTCCAGGATGTGAACATCTTCCTCCTTGAAAGAGTGACCGCTGGCCTGGAGATGAGTGTAGACCGCAGAGTCCTGGCCTGATGATGTTGATCTTCTGTGCTGGGCCATCCTTTTTTCTTGGACTCTGAGGTCTCAGTCTCTGATAAAGGACATTTGCAAACTGAGGTGTACCGCAAACCCACACACACAGACAAGTATTTGCAGTTTGACTCCCATCACCCTTTAGAGCACAAGTTAGGAGTCATCAGGACTCTGTATCACAGAGCAGACAGCGTCCCCACTAGCTCAGGAGCCAGGCAGAAGGAGAAATCCCACACAAGACAGGCTCTAGAGCAATGTGGATATCCTAACTGGGCCTTCCTGAAAGCAGAGAAGAAACCCAAACAGGACTCCAGTCAGCCAACAGGTGAAAAGGAGGAACCCAGACCCAGACCAGTGGTCATTCCATATGTTGAGGGCGTATCAGAGAAACTGAGACGTTTATTTTCTAAACATAACGTCCCAGTGGCTTTTAAACTCCAAAATACATTACAGCAAAGACTGGTTCATCCCAAAGATCCAGTCCCCCGGCACAAACAGAGTAATGTTGTGTATGCTGTTCAGTGTCAGGAGGGCTGTGATCAGTCTTACATTGGGGAAACAAAACAGCCACTGGCCAAAAGGATGGCCCAGCACAGAAGATCAACATCATCAGGCCAGGACTCTGCGGTCTACACTCATCTCCAGGCCAGCGGTCACTCTTTCAGGGATGAAGATGTGCACATCCTGGATAGAGAGGAACGATGGTTTGAGAGAGGAGTAAAGGAGGCCATCTTTGTGAAAAGAAACCGTCCATCATTAAACAGGGGTGGAGGCCTCCGTGTTCAACTGTCCCCCTCTTACAATGCTGTGATTGCTAGTATCACTCAGCCCTCTGTGAACAGTAAACAGCCATCAGTGTGCTAATGATCCATTGTTAGGCTGATGGTCCTTCTTGAGCATGTGATCAGCTGGTTTTGGTTGTCAGCAGCAAAACTGGTTGATCCACTCTGAGACGGTGCTATTTAAGAGACTGAGCTGAATACAGCACCTCAGACTGAGGAAGTCTCTCGGATGAGAGACGAAACGTTTCTACATTTTTTTGTTGATTTGCTTTGTTTTGTTTTTTTTTGAATGTCCAGAGGACCAGATTTAACTTTTTTAAATGTGGATATTCTAACTGGGCCTTCCTGAAAGCAGAGAAGAAACCCAAACAGGACTCCAGTCAGCCATCAGGTAAAAAGGAGAAACCCAGACCAGTGGTCATTCCGTATGTTGAGGGAGTATCAGAGAAACTGAGACGTTTATTTTCTAAACATAACGTCCCAGTGGCTTTTAAACCCCACAATACATTACGGCAAAGACTGGTTTTTCCCAAAGATCCAGTCCCCCGGCACAAAAAGAGTAATGTTGTGTATGCTGTTCAGTGTCAGGAGGGCTGTGATCAGTCTTACATCAGGGAAACTAAACAGCCACTGGCCAAAAGGATGGCCCAGCACAGAAGATCAGCATCATCAGGCCAGGACTCTGCAGTCTACACTCATCTCCAGGCCAGCGGTCACTCTTTCAGGGATGAAGATGTTCACATCCTGGACAGAGAGGAACGATGGTTTGAGAGAGGAGTAAAGGAGGCCATCTTTGTGAAAAGAAATCATACATCATTAAGCAGGGGTGGAGGCCTCCGTGTTCAACTGTCCCCCCTCTTACACTGCTGTTATTGCTAGTATCACTCAGCCCTCTGTGAATAGTAAACAGCCATCAGTGTGCTAATGATCCATTGTTAGGCTGGTGGTCCTTCTTGAGCATGTGAGCAGCTGGTTTTGGTTGTCAGCAGCAAACTGGTTGATCCACTCTGAGAAGGTGATATTTAAGAGACTGAGCTGAATACAGCACCTCAGACTGAATTAGTCTCTCGGATGAGAGAGGAAACGTTGCTATATTTTTTTGCTTTGTTTTGTTGTTTGTTTGTTTTTTTTGAATGTCCAGAGGACCAGATTGAACTTTTTTGGATTTTTCTACCTGGATTATTGAGCATGCATCAGGATGTAATAGAAAAAGATATGAACTTCTGATATAGGTTCATAAGTACTGATGTGGCAGTCCGGTTTAATCACAGACATCAAAATAAGCTTGATAAATTAATACAAGTTTTCCCTCTACTTGTTTTCACTCAAAATTCTCACACTGTCTCTCTCATCATCTCAGCTGAGATTTCTATACCTCATATGGTGTCAAGTGAGCAGCTACCCAATGAAAACCTCAGTGTTGCTCTGGACCAGAAGATTGTTTCCCCAAATCGTGTGCTTGCTGACAACAGCTCTTTGGCACAAGTCATCGTGGGTTTCCCAGACCTTATGGTGAGATTATAATGAAGTGCATAAATCACACTTGTTGGCTGATTCTGATTGTTTTTGTTTTATTTAATTGTTTATTTCTTTTAAGGCTGAATCTGCCAATTCCAATTACAAATGATATGGACTTCTATTTAGGAATTATAATTAAAATGTTCTAAAATACATCTTTTTTTAAATTTCTAGTTTAATTAAAACAAATAATGTGTAATAATAAAAAAGTTTTCATGGAGGGTTTTTGTAGGACATTAAGAAACATTGAAAATCATTGAAGTGTTTTTTTGCTCAATTTAAGGCCTTAAATTACATTAAATAACATTAATTTAAAATTTCATTTACATTAAACAAAGAAAGAAAATGAAGTTGAGATACACATTTCTGGAAATTGCTGAGTTGGACTCAGTCATCTGGGCAATACTTTAGTGTTTGATTAGTAAATGGAATGGTAAATGAACTGTACTTGTATAGCACCTTCCTATCTTATCAAGATACTCAAAGTGCTTTACACTACAATCTTTCTCATGTACCCATTCATACAGCACTCTACTAGATCTATACAAAGAATAATCAGTGCTTTAGATCACATTCATACACCGATGGGACACACATCGGAGGCAGATCACACTGTAGAAAACAGATCGTGTGCAATACACACACATCTGGGAAAAAAAACAATATTTCAGATGTGTGGAAAGGACTGAAAGTCATCACCAGCCATGGCAAACGTGGGGATGTTTCCCTGACCTCTGACCTATTGAAGACCATGAGCTGTGTGGACCTACGACTACCTTACTGACAGTTGTACATGAGACTGCAGGACTGTATGTCAGATATAGTGGTCTGCAACGTGGGGGCTCCCCAGGGGACAGTGCTCTCACTGTTCCTTTTTGCTGTCTACACCTCAGACTTCACCTACAACTCCACCCTCTCCCACCTGCAGCATTTCTCCTTTGACTGCCATTGTGGGTTGTGTATTATAAGAGAATGAAGAGGATTACTGCGGGAGGGTCATCATGAACTTTGGCATCTCAAACCAAGGAACTTGTAGTTGATTTCCATAAGAAACCTCCCCACATACAGGCAAACATCCAAGGCTTAGTCATTAAGATTGTGAACTCATTTGTGGGGTGCATTTGATGGGGACAGGAGACCAAGTACAGGAAACCAGAGAGTGACTACGGGATGGTGCCAGTAGAACCAGCTACAATTCAGTACCAATAAGACCAAATAGATGGACTGTTGAAAGCTGAAACCTCCAACATGGCCTCTTTAGGTGGATGAAGTGGAGGTGGAGATGGTCTGGTCTTACAAGTATCTTGGTCTGCAGCTGGATGAAAAACTGGACAAAACAGAACACTGAACACTGACTATGGGAAGGTCCAAAACAGGCTGTTATTCCTAAGGAGTCTGGCATAATTTAACCCCTGCAGAGGTTCTGTCAATCTGTGGTGTCAGTGTCCTCTCCTATTTTGTGACGTGCTGGTGGGGGAGCAGCACCAGGAAGCAGGACAGCCACAGATTGATGAGGAGGGCTGGCTTTGTGGTGGGTGTGAAACTTGAAATATTGGTAACAGTGGATAAGGATATTGGAACATGTTTATAGAATATATTTTCTGAATCGCTTTAAACTGTTGCACCTTTTATATTTGTTAATTTTTTTCAGCATTTATGTAAGGTGATCAATTTTCTACCACTGGAAAACTTATTGGAACCGAGATGGTGTAGCGGTAGGGCAGCCGACTTGGGACCAGAAAGTCGTGGTTCGACTCCCAGCCATTCCCACATGTTATAGCTGCCCACTGCTCTACCTGGGTGTATCTCATGTGTGATGGGTTAAATGCAGAGAACTAATTTCACTATTGTATGGGAACATACAATGATGACCATCTCAGACTTCCCCTTATTGTCTTAAAATTACAATTTGATGGTTAAATTAGCAAACAATAACTCAAAGTAGTAAAACAGTCGGCAAAGCTTAAAATGGCACAACAGTAGTTAAAATAAACAAAACAGGCGCTAACATTGGGAAAACAGTCACTAAAATCAGCAAAACATTAGTGAAAATTTGCTCAACTGTAATTAAAAGCTAAAAAATGTGAATGCTAGCTAAAAGATGAATAAAATAGACTGTGAATTTTGAATATTGTTATTGTACAAATTGTGCATATTCAAAGTGTGATAAAAAATTTACACAGTGGTATAATTCACACAAAAAAAGGATAAATATAAGGAAAAGGAGGGAATAATTAAATTTTTAACCTTTATTTAACCAGGCAAATCCCATTGAGATAGGGCCCTTGGTATCGGGGGCTGGGCGCTTGGGCGTGTGTCGGCTCGGCCTGGTGTCTGCCTGGTGGGGCTCGGGTCCTCTGGCCCTGTCAGGCCTTGGCCTGGGTGGTGTGAGTCCTCGGTGCCCGGGCCTCGGTGCCTGGACCTGGACCTACATCGGTGTGGCGGGTGCCGACGGAGGCCTATGAGTTTGTCGCTGTTGGCCCCGGGGGGTCACTGTATGTGGTTGCTGGTGGGGATCTTCCGGTTCTCCCCTGTGGTCCCTTCTGGGGGGTGGGTGGGTGGTTCGCCCTGTGTGGGTGGCTCTGGGGGCTCCGCGGTCGGGGTCCCTCCTGGGGTCTTGGGCTCTGGTCCCCACTTTTTCGTCTGCCTCTGGTCTTGGGGGTCGGGTCTCTGCTGCTTCACAATTACTAATAAATGTTCTATTAGAGAAGCCTTATACACTTATGCATGCTCACAACCACACACAAATAGAAGCAGGGATGTTTATGTAGGCTTTATATGTAGATATATAGATATGTATGTGAGTGTATATTCATGTGTATGTATGTATGTATGTATGTATATAGGCGTAGGTATGGGTATATATATTTATTGAAACTTACTGCAAAGCCATGAATATTTTAAGTTCTTTATACATATGTATTTTGTTGCTGTGTTTTGTCATGTTCTTTGCAGGTGAACAGACAGTGGCCGGGTGTTTTGAAGTGTGCTCTATTTGTATATATTTCTTATATTTTGGAGTCTTACTTTGTCTTTTCTTTTTTTCTATCCTATTAAAAAAAAAAAAAAAAAAAAAAAAAAAAAAAAAAAAAAAAAAAAAAAACCTACACTAGAATGTCACTATAATAAATATTTAATAATAATGGTGTGGAGAGGATGGCTGTAAGGGGAGAAGGGAGGCCATCAGAAAAAAAAAAAAAAAAAATGTGAATGCTAGCTAAAAGATGAATAAAATAGACTGTGAATTTTGAATATTGTTATTGTACAAATTGTGCATATTCAAAGTGTGATAAAAAATTTACACAGTGGTATAATTCACACAAAAAAAGGATAAATATAAGGAAAAGGAGGGAATAATTAAATTTTTAACCTTTATTTAACCAGGCAAATCCCATTGAGATCACTGAACGTTTTTGCAAGGGAGGCCTGGGCCTGAAGGCAGACTAACATGCATGTTTTTGTTCTGTGGAAAGAAACTTGAGTACCCGGAGAAAACCCACACATGCACAAGAAGAACATGCAAACGCCACACAGAAAGACCCCAGGTCCAACAGGGGATTGAGCCCAGGACCTTCGTGCTGTGAGGCAACAGTGCTAACCACTGAGACGTTGTGCTGCCACAAACACAAACAAAGAAGTGAAAGAAGCTGAACGGTAGCTAAAAATTTAAATTTACAAAATATCTAAAAGTGGCAGGTAAAAGTTCAAATTAGCATAAGAATAAAGCACATATGCTGTAGCAGTTATCAAGAGAGCAATGTTGTTGAAGGGACTGAAGAAATCCCATTGTATATTTCTAAGGGGAATTTTATTTCAAATAAAGCAAATTATTTGAAATGTAAACCACTTATAAAAGCCATACTCTTCCTACAATTTCAGTCAGGTCATCTGAACGGTTTCTTTTTTTCTGAGACGTTTCGCCCTCCATCCACAAAGCTTCATCAGTTTGAGGAAACACCAAACAAAACTTATTCTCCCCCAGCAGCTTACTCCAAAGTGGAAAAATCTAGTTATGTTGGTGCTAAGATGGTCTCTGGGGCTCGCCCTCTCCTTTGGTGCCCGCCCTCTCTCTCATCAACAGTCCTGTCAAACTGGTTCAAAACACCAAAGTCCATGCTCAATAATCCAGGTATAAAATCCGACAATGTTCAGTCAGATCATCTTAACGGTTTCTTTTTTGTGCTGAGACGTTTCGCCCTCCTTTCGGAGGCTTCATCAGTTTGAGGAAACACCAGACAAGATGACAGACCAGATGACCTTATTAACATTGTTGGATTTTTTTACCTGGATTATTGAGCATGGACTTTGGTGAACCCATATTCTTGCACAGCATACTATTCCTGTTCAAGCCAAACATTTTAATGTCTGAGTGGTCAAGACAGCACAAAATATACAGAAGTAGTGTGACTGCAAAAATTGTACAGAATAAAATAAAAAAGAAAGCAATGGTGAGAACGTTGATTTAGCATTTATTGAATAATGTCCTTACAGCTTAACAACACAGCTTTGTGACTCATATTAAATAAAAGACATTTTCTTCGTTGTGTTTTTTCCTGGGCAGTCACCTAACGAGGTGTACAGCTTCAGGAGGCCTGTTGAGCTGTCATCCATGAAGAGCAGCCAGGGTGGGTCTCAGTCATTCTTTAGAAGTGGGTCTCAGAGCGGAGCCGTCAAAAGGAAGAACTGTGTCTCTCTGCTCTCCGCCAATCAGGTAGTCCGAGCTATTCCCTCTACAAAGGTGCCTCTGAATGACATATACCCCAAAGGTCAGAGTTCAAATCACTTTGGAGTAATTGAATGAGCTCAAACTGGAATTGTTGTAACTTTTTAATTCTCTCTTTGTCTCTCAGATGTCACTCCTCCTATTACATCAGCATACCTGGAAGTGACCGACCTCACATCCAAAAAGCTCAAATACATTCCAGTCCCAAGGTAAACCGAGCTATGAGTTGTTTCTACATGTTCTTTAGTCATGGAGTGAATTTACATTTTCACACATCATACAGCATTGTATATTAGTTTTTGTCATAGAAATAATAATGTAGTATCTAAAAATACTACATTGAGCATGCATCAGGAAATATTATAATATATTTTGTGTTAATCTGAGGTATTGAACCTAATTTGGAGGACTGTTAAAAAAATTCTGTGTAAATGTGTTGTTTTTTTCATATGTCTACTTTTCTGAGTAGCCATGTTTTAATTGTCCTTCATATTTGTGACTGGCAGGTCAAAGACTGTGTCGCCCTACACCAACTGGTTGTCCAAGGTGTCAGAGTGTGACGTGCTGGTAGCTGCTTTTGGTTCTGGTAGTGTGGTCACAGTTGATATGGGTGGCTACATCCGGCTGTGGGAGACTGGTCTGGACACCCTGCAGCGGTCACTGATGGAGTGGAGGAACATGATTGGAGCAGAGGATGGCAGACCCATACAGGTAAGATGACATCGAAAAAAATGCCGGCAGCCTGCAGTTTGTCTTAACACCACTGAGGGGCAGTGTTACATTAAAACTGACTGCAGTGCAGACAGCTTAAACTTTCTAGTTTTTCAGAATTATTTATGAGGAGCTGAATGTTCTGGTCAAAAGGTTTTTGACCTGGCAGCTGTACCCATAGTGGGTGAGAAGGAACAAATTGGCATTGTTGCAGTGATGCTATAGGTTATAAGACCTTTCACACTGAGGCAGTGTTGTGGAGGCGCCCACATGTATGACAGTCACATTCTTCATATAATGTAGCCTTGCAGATGCTGAACTTAACACGGTTAAAGAGGAGAAGACCAAACAAAGCTTGAAAAGATCATCAAAGATTATGTTTTTGCCTGCGTCTCTCTGCCACCAAAATATGTCAAGAATCACAAGAAGATTCATATAATTTTGAGATAGTAATACTTTTATGTACCTCTATAACTGATTAATATTTGGAAACAACCTCTTTCAAGATGGACAGTGGAGCTGACTGACTTAAAAAAGAAAAGAAAAAGTTGGTATAGTTCAGCCAGTTTTACACTTTGAAAGTTGAACCTTTCTTCAGATCAAATTTGATAGGGTAGTATAGCTGGGAGTCATTCACAACATGTCATGCTCAACACGTCTGAGCATGATAGTATTGACTACTGCTATAACTATACTGCTTCTCAATGTAGGACAAATTTGGTTCAAAACTCTGGCATTGAAGGCAGCAGATTTCAAGGCAATGTGTATTATTTGCACTTACCATGCTCCATAATTTTCACTGCTCTTTTACTGTTGTGAGTGATATTACAATTTTCCATTATCCTTACTCTATGTAATAATCAGTGTTGATATGACCGGTAGAGCTACAATTTCTAATCCGGGCTCGGTCCGACCCAAAATTTGGGCTGGGTTGGGCCAAAAATAATGTGCTTGATGGGCGGGCCGGGTTGGTCTTGGGTTTTTGATACGGTTTTATGAATCATACAGCAAAAAGAAAACTAAATAAGAATGCACAATATAAAATTGTGTTAATCTACTTGAGGAGGAGGCTTGTCCGACCGGCTGCTTGAAAGAGGTACAAAAATGTCCTGTTAAGCTCAGATGGACAACGGGATCACCGGCCGTGCGCGTCCGCTGATCGTCCAGTTGAAAGAGGTAAAAAAAAAAAAAAGTCCAGTTAAGCTCAGGTGGATCAGCTGATCACCGGCGCACATCTTCGCAGCTGCTGTCATCTGCAGTGAAGGAAGTAGCAGCATTTACAAAAGCCGAAGCAAGCAGCACGTTCAATTAAAAAAGCCTTGTTTTATATTTTTCCAAACAATTTTGCTCTAAAAATATTATTGTTCATCTGTATAATAGCCTGTCTTTAGAGATTATTTTTTTAGGCTATTCGTTTTGTATGTTAATATTCATTTGGTGAAACAAATCTGATATCTTCCTTTCTTTGAAATATGTTTTTAAAATATGTCAAACTGATTTGCTTACAAAAGCAGTAAAAGCTTAATAAAAAATATATATATATATATATATATATTTTTTTTCATGTTCGTGCCTGTAATTACAGTTAAATTACTGGGTCGGGTCGGAAAAAATGGCTACAGCTGTGGCCAGGTCACGACAGATTTTTGTAGGCCTGACTGCAGTTCAGAGATGTCTTGGGAGCCGTCAGAGCTGTCTGCAGCTGTGTTTTCTGATAACGGCTCAACAGCGGGGGACAAGCTGGAGGCTTTCTGTTAAACAGATTTTTCAGTTTAGGAAGTCAGAACGGGTCAGAGCCTCAGACAGGTTGATACGTTTTATGAACTTGCAAATGTATTGATCTTTTTTGATTCCAAAGCTTTGTAAATAAATTGATGAAGCCCACACCTGGTTGTTTTTGGAATCACTTTTTTCCACAACAGTAACTACGGTATATGCATTACTTAAAATAGTTCTAAGCCTTTAATTTATCTAGATGATTTGCCTTAGGGATTGATGACTTTTTGACTGTTAAACATTTATATATATATATATATATATTGTAGTGAACTAGGCCTGAGGTCAAATCCTGACCTTAAGGACCTTATGGGACAGAAACTGTCATTTCATTGATTTGAATCCAGAAATACAGGTTGACCCATCCTGAGACTTTCTTTCTTGAATTAATCAAGTGAAAGAACACTATTTTCTATTATCATTACTATTTTACAAGTGTTTGATAATCAAAGTGTGTTTAGTTCAAACCATTTTTAGATGTTGCAGTGAACTAATCATTTTTAATTCAACTGTGAAACAGTAATAATGATTTTAATCCTCATGCCAAGTAGAAATCATGTTAAGGTCTGTTACAGAGTAATTATGCATTTTCTGATTTTCTGTCTTTGAATGAGCAAGTGTAAGTTGGTCCAAGGTTGGAGTCAAACGCAAAACAAGTTGTTGGAACGAACTGTCATGTTTTTAAAATCCTCTCAGACGTAAATATAGAGGCTGGCACCTGTTTTCCCCCAACTCGTCTAAATATTCCTCTCGTCTGTCTGAAAAACATTTTCAATCTGTTCCATAACATTCTTGCTGTTTTTCTGACTCCTAGTGACCTCTTACGTCACAAAAACACACCCCTGTCTGGTCGAAACGACCAATCAGGAAACTCCCAAATGAACCGGAAATAGAGCTCTTTAAATGTCGGTACTTCCTAGTTCAAACGAGTCGGGTGGAGAGTTTGCAGCTCCAGTCGTTTGGGAGAACAGAAGTCCAACCACGATCCGCAGCTCTTCGAGTCTTGTGGGAATTATGCAATCTTCCACATCTGAGTGGAACTTCTGACAGACTCCACTCATGTGAAGTCCACTCGTGAGGTGAACTGTTGTTGATGAAGTCCCGCCACCACTCCGGACGGTTCTCTGCCATCCTACGGAGACGCTGGACCGGTAGCTTAACTGGAGCTCCGTTTCCACTGATTCATCGTCAGAGAGTCGAGTTTACTACCGAGCGTACTGAGGAAAGCTGGGTTCGAATGGAGGGTGCCGTTCTGTTCAACACTTTTCTTTCACACACACCATCTCCCTCCCTCTAAACTTCATCTTTCCATCTTTAAAATTCTTCTATCCTGGTAGAAATCATTCCAGATATTTCCAGAAATGTCTGTGGTGAAGCTTGAGGTTTTCAACCATCGCCGTATGGTTAATCAAATTGTACAGCTTGCAAAATTAGCCATGTTGTTGTTGAAATCATTTTGCCAAATTAATGTAAATGTGTGATGTTAAACTTTGATTCTGTAAATAAATGACGCATTCATTTGATGGGTCAAAGAAAATTAACGTCTCACGATACATTTTATTAAATTCAATGCACGACATTATACAGTCCAGAAAAATGAAAGAATCCGTTTAATTTATGAATATATACAGCATATGT